TTATGGGATCTTTCTGAGGGTTGCTATGAGGTTTTTTCGGGCTTCAGCCTCATGGTTTGATTATTAAGGTTTAGGGTTTAGGGTTTAGGGTTTAGGGTTTAGGGTTTAGGGTTTGGGGTTTAGGGTTTAGGGTTCGCTCAAGGCTCTCATGTTTAGGGTTTTGGGGCGTTCAATGCTTGAGCATCGAAGGGTTGTTAAGTGCTGGGCGGCTTTGTGCTGGTGACAGTAGGGCCTGCAAACCCTAAACCCTAAACCCTAAACCCTAAACCCTAAACCCAAATGGCTACAGCTGTTGGCCCAAACCAGGTTTCTATCTAGTTTCCCTTCCTTTCCTCCTCCCGCTCTGACCGGGGTGAGATTGCGAGCCAGACTTTGTCCTCTGTTCCTTCTACCCGGTGACGGCCATCCTCCGGTACCCGATTCTGCGGGAGTACGCGGCTGGCTGGGTACGGTCGCCTTCCACGAGTACACGTGTCTCGCCGGCGAGTACCCTCCTGGTCTGTGGGATTACGTGGTGGTTCTGCAAAAGGGGTGAAGTGTGGCTGGGCGGTGAACTTCCTTGTCGGTGGGTGACTTCTTGGTGCCTCTGTTTCCATCGTTGTTTGCTTCTTCTTCTTCTCCTTCGGCTTCCTCGTCCTGCACTACGTTCTCGTGGGTGACTGTTGGGACTTCAACATGGCTGACAACGACCCCACTCAGCTCGAGACGGCAGAGATGGCAGTTGATGTGGGATCTCCCACGGAAATTGCTGAGGATGATGACGGCATCGACAAGATGATTGGTTCCGACCCGTTCCTGGAGGGTGACAACAAGCACAAAGTCGAGGTCAAGCAAGAGAAGCGCAAAAGGGACGAGCATAACAGTGGACACGGACGTCTCCGCCCGGTCCCGGACGAAGAGGATGAAGACCTCGATAGCCCGACAAAGAGGGCAAGCAGAGGAGAAGACCAGCCGCTCACAGCCAAGGAACTTCGCATGCTTCTCTCTGGGCATGTTAACGAGATGCGTCACGCATGGGGAACTTTCCAAGGGCGTCTTGACCGTGTTGAAGCAGCGCAAAGCAACACCAATGGCATCATCAGTGATCTACAGGCCCGAACCACGGTTGCGGAGAAAGACATTATTCAGCAGAGACAGGCAGCCCAGGAGACGACAACCTCGCTCGACAATCTCGCGACCGAGGTGAAGAACATGAAAGTCAGGATCGACGAGCTACAGTCAGCGGGCCAAAGCACAGCCGCCCCATCGGGAATTGCTGCACCAGGAGGCAACCCAGACCCGTGGGCTGAGTTCCTCAGAAGGAAAGAGGGCAACAAACGCAACAATGCAGCGGCAGGGGTGAACTCTGGGGCCGCTCCTCTTCCTGAACCTGACCGTGGGGACTTTGTCTCAGAGGAGGACCGCCGCACTCTTGTGATCGGAGGATGGTTGCAAGACACCAAACGCAACGTCATTGAGGAGGAGGCTTCCATTATCTTACAGATGCCGGAGATCAAGCTGCTCATCGACGTCGAACGTCTTGCCGTCTATGGGCCTCGACGATCAGTTGGGATGCTTAAGTTTACACTTCGGGAGGGTGAACGAGAGGGTGATCTTCGCAACCGCATGTGGCAGTTTATCAAGTGCCTCTCCCAGATCAAGCATGTACTACCATCCACGAGATCCAACGGTGAAGAGAAGACGATGTGGGCGAGCTTCGTTAAAAGCCGCAATGCTAGGCTACGCAGTGCCCACGTCAGCCTTATTCGGAGGATTGCAATCGCTCTGGCCAAGGACGCCCAGCAGGGACAGGCGGGAGGAGTTTCGGGGGTGATCAACGATCAGATCTCGATGTTTGATTGCCATTGGAATATGGGAACAATATGGTGTGGGTCCTTGAAGCTGGGCAGTGCATCCCACCGCGCTCCGCGCGAAGAAGAGACTATCATGATGACAGGGGGGTGGGTCAGCATTACAGCAGTTGCTCGCACGGCCGGCTGCTCTACCGAGGAGGCAAAGAGGGCCTTCGAGGTCGAGCTGTGACGGACGAAAAGAAATAGTTTCACCGACTGCATGGACTCGCCTGATGCATCACTTCCGAAGGAAGGGCAAGATGTATCGCTTCCGTCGTGTGAAAGACGCAGATGGGGGCGGGTGGGTCAATGGAATTTGGCAGGACAAAATCCTGAAATACTTGACGTAGCGGCAAAAGACCTTGATATCATCATGGCGCAAGAACTGCCGAGGGGGGCCTCAGGATGGGGTGAGATGGATTCGGAAGAGTTCCATTGGGTTTCTCATCGTGACGATCGCCAGTGGAGAGGCACGGGCATAGGCGTTGCCATCGACAAGTTTGACTCCGTCGTGCACAAAGTCCGCACCGAACGCGGTATCTGGGTGGTCGCTCGCCTTCATGGACTTGGCAGGGTGATTTTGGGGTCGCTCCACTGCCATACTGGGGTGACCAACAACGTCTTCCAGTCGGCTGTACATGAATTCCTTCATCACTGCCCTCGCAAGTATCGGCATCTTCCGCTTATCTGTGGGGTCGACGTCAATGAGGTTCCGCACTGGCAAGACCAAGAAGAGGGTGATCTTGCACTTGGCTCCGGAAGTGAAAACTTCAACGTGGTTGCGCATGATTTCCTTCAACAGGGGGTCAAGCCTATCCCTCCAGAACCACTCTTTAGAAATACACCAACCCATTTTCCTCGAGACGAAGAGCGCAGTGGAAGGCAAATCGACATGCTGTTCGCCAGGCAACTACATATTCACCCGGTCACTATCGATGCCGATCGCCGCTTCGCCGTTGGGACAGACCATGCCCTCGTTCACGCAGATCTACTTGTCGCTGCGGGGCCCCTTCGCAGGCGGTGGCATAATGATTCCCGTGCCAGATGGGTGACTAAAGAGCTGCCAAATACGGTGATTGTTGACGAAGACGACCTGATTGACCTGGCCAGAAAGTATACAAGACCCAGGACCTCGAGCGCATTTCGTGACGATGAGCGGACAAAGGCGGCGCTTCGAGTTGCACGGACCACAAACAGCGCTGCAGACTGGAAGCACGCCCATAAACTCCGCCGCCTGTCTAAGAAGCAGTGGAAAGAGTCACGTCTCTCAGCAATACTTGGTGGAGATTGGGAACAATATCGTCTCCTGCAGAATGAGAAGAAGCGATGTCGTGGGTGGTGGGGGCCGATGCTAGAGGATCGTACGTCCAACCAACTGGCGGGTGAAATTCGTAAGCACCTCGAGAACAAGATGACAACTGGCCAAAGGGTTGAAATCTGGGATAACAAGCTTGAGGACATGATCCAGCACGCCGAGAACATGAATGACGAGGGTGAGTTCGTGCCGTTTGAAACGCATCATGTGTGGGAGGAGCTGCAACATATGAAGTGCAAAAGTGCAGTTGGTCCGGACGGCATTGGTGTGCACCTCCTCCGCCAGCTTGTTGCCCACGAGGAGCTCAGCCTGGAACTGCTCTCCCTGATTAACCACATCGTCAAGACGAGAGAGCTTCCCACCAGCTGGAGCTACAGCTACCTTGCGTTGTTGGCCAAAATCCCCAAGCCTCTCCGCCCTGCCGATCTTCGTCCGATTGCTGTATCCTCCGCGTTTAACAAACTGGTTAATCGCCTTGTTTGCAGCCGAGTCCTCCCGATCATGCGCAGAGGGTCGAAAATTTCATGCTGCGGCAAAGGAAGACAATCGGCTGACCTGGTGGGGTGTATCTCCAGACTTCGTGACGTCTGCCGTGAATGGAAGCATCCTTTCCTACTTTGCAAGCTCGATGTGGCGGGAGCATTTGACAAGGTTGACAGAGCCAAGGTTGCGGACATCCTCATCCAGAGATTACAGGGACAGCATGTCAGCAGCGAACTTAAGTATATGCTGCTACAGCTCAAAAGCCATACATTGCTAGGCACTGTACCGGGAGGACCTACCATTCGCCTGCAACCTGACGTTGGAATAAAACAGGGTGCCCCAGAGAGTGCCGAGATCTTTGGGCTCGTGGTTGACACTATGCTCAGCGACCTCGTCGACTACAAACAATGGGGTGACTTTGGAAAACCGTTCGCCAACCTCGATCTTGATCTTCTCTTCTTCCAGGATGATGTGTTCCTCCTTGAGACAAACCTGGCCAGACTTTGTCGACGCGTGCGGACAGTGGGACGATGTCTGGAAAAGGCAGGCCTGTTGCTCGCCACTGAGAAAACAAAGATCGTCGCCAATTGCCATTACACGGGAGCACGCAGAGTTCGCATTGGAGAGTACGAGTTCAAGATTGCCCCGCTAGGAGACCAGGTTCGGGTCCTAGGGGTGAACTTCTCCCTGTCTGACGACCCCTCTGAACAAGCGAAGGAGGTGATCTCGCGCACTCGAGATGCGGTCGCAGCACACAGAGACATCCTCTGTGCACCTGGTGCATGGACTCAGAAAACCACCATCATGCGCACCCTTGTTGAATCACAATTCAACTGGATTGGGGGTGCACTGCATTGGAGCGCCACTGATCTGCACAGCCTCAACGTGCTACAACTTCATGCTTGCAGATCCGCCTTTGGGTTGCGCAGAGCAGGTGATGAAAGTTGGACAGATTGGAACGCCAGGACGATGCGTTTTCTTCGAGCATGGCTTCACAACAATCATGTGGCCAGATGGTCGACAAGAATTCTGACCTTGCAGCACACATTGCACGGCCACTGGGCCAGGAGAGTTGAAGTCGTTAGAGATGTGCCGAGGAGTAGCCCCCCACTTCGTGCCCTACAGTGGCGCAACACTCATTGGTGGAGAGGTGAACAAGCCTTGAGTCCCACCATCAGTATGAGACACCCAGGACGGTTCTACGCCAGCTGTACAGAACGCCAGTTAGCTGAAACCCACGGAACACTTTGGCATGTTTGTGCCCAAGATCGTCAGAGGTGGGCTTCCGAGAGAAAAGAATACGTGCGACAGTGGGATGTCCGTTGGTCCAGTGGCCGCCAGCTCTCTTTGAGGTACTAGTGTATGGCCCGCTCTCGTTGCTCGTGAAGCTTTTCATTTATTGAACGGCTGAGTTGCGCAATGCGGAGAGGGGCCCTGCGGTGTATCACCTCAAGAGTTGGAATATGTATGAGACCCTTTTCATGTTCATGAGACCTTCTACTTTGTGAAGCACATACCTGTGTTGTCTGAGAGTTTGCAATCAATTTCGAAGCCCACACCTATGGTTTCCCAAGTGCATGGCAGTCAGTTCCTGAGATCGTGTCTCTGTGAAGTCTTGCCTGTGAAGTTTGACGACAACACCCACACAGCCTCCTGGCTCGAAGGTGCTTCTGTATCCTCTTTGGCGCCTCCCTGATCCTCGCGCAATGGTCGTCTACTCGGGCTGGCCGGTGAACTCCTACCTGCACAAGTTGGCGATCCTCCTGCTGCTCGTCCCGGCGAATAAGGCGGTTCAGAACCCGGGCCCTGCGTCCTCAAGTCAAAACGACGCTCAACAGACCAATGACGAGCCGCCCGAGACCCCGCACCCTGCGACCCAATACTGGCGTACTTGGACCGAGGAAGAGATCGCGGAGTACAAGGCCCAAGCTTGGGATGATGGAGAGTGGAGCACGCCAGCCCCACAGGGAGAGACTGCCTGGGATGCCTGGCCTTCTTCATCGTCGTGTACCCCACCATGGCCGACCTCTTCGACATTGCCAAGCACCCCGCCGTGGCCGACATCTTCTTCTTCCTTGCCAGCATTGCCTTCCACTTCGTTGTCCGCTGCCCCGACATCTTGGACACTGCCGTCGATGTCTTCCAATGTGGGGGTGACGTTGCAGACGCCGACATTGTCTAACCGTGACGGGGGGAATTTGTCGGTGGAGTCTACTTCGTCACCCAACCTTCTGATGAGCACAATGAATTTGACCCCGGCATTGATGGCTCCTGGAGTGGGAGGCGGTGTCGACGGCAGCACGAGTACGTCCTCCTCATCGTGTTCCCTTGGACAGGCAGGCACCCCTGGACACGCTAGCCAGTCAGCTCACGCGGTATACATGGCAAGCCGTTGGGATGAAGAAGTGTCCCTAGCCCTTCAAGAACAAGAACTTGAACAGTGGCAGTTCCAACATGAGGCCTGGGATCATGAGCAGATCCTTGGCCTGGTCCCCATCCCGGAAGACCTGCCGGTACCGTTCGAAGCCCTTCGTCGACGCGACAATGAGACCAAGACGAAAGCCGGAGGCGATGCAGACTGGTTGGATGGACTACTAGACGACCGAGATCTTTATGGACACCGTGCACGTGAAGTTCGCCCTCCTCCTCATGGCCGAGATCCCGCCTCGTTCACGACGCCGCCGAGTATTTTAAGGCGATCCCCCTCCACAGCTGCCTCATCGTCGAGCTCATCTTCGCATTTGCCGCAAGAGCACGGGGTGGGCACTACACAACGTGGTCAGAAAATCAGACCAGGAGTGGATAGGTGGCATCACCCGAACGGCTCCGTCCGGAACAGACGACAAGAGAGCCTCCGCAGTCAAGCCGGTGAAGCTGCCGCGAACTCCTCAGCTGCTGAGAATATGAATGACCACGTGCCAAACCCACATGAAGGTAATCCACCGTTCACGATCACGGGAGCGTCCACTCATGAAGGAGAACCGGTTGTACAAGCGACTACCTTCTACGGGGCTGAGTTCTCGGTCCGTTGTGGACCTCCTTCTGCAGGCTGGGGTGACTCTACGACGGCGGGTGACTCTTCACAGATTAGCGAGAACACGAACAGCAGCCTTGATGCGGGTGAAGGACCATGCGTGACGGCGTCAAACTCTTCGTCTTCGCCAGCGGGGGGATTTTGGCTTCATGGAGAATGGCAGCAACGTGAACGCACAGCAGCGGAGCAGCGGTCACACAGGGGAGGCATGGGCCCCCAGCGCCTTCTCCGGAAGAAGGCACGTATGGATGCATACTTCGCAGGCAAGTGGCGACCTGCTTGGTTGGAGCAGTACATCCACGACAAAGACAAACGGCTTCTCGCCAAGGGTGACACTGAGCCACAGTTGAGCCGTGACGGTGAGTCCCCGGGTGAGATCGTGACTACGGAGCCGGCAACCAGCACACCCTCAGAGCTAACAGATGTGGATCCTTGGTCTGGGCAGTGGCAATCGTGGCAGGCACAATCGTGGTGGAGCTGGTCGTGGCAGGAGGATGGCGAACAGCAGGGATGGTCTTGGACTTCTTCGTCGTCTACGTCAACGTCCACGACAGTGGGTGACATGCCAAACTTTCCTCCTAACTACGGGCTATTTCCTGATGTCACTCCTGTTCCAGCCGATGTGGAGGAAGCGCTGTTTATGCAACTAACAGGTGCTGAACGTGCCATGTTACAGGAAAATGGCGTCCCCACGGAGGCTCTGACCCGGGTGGAGGAGATGTTGGACAGGCTTGATGATCACAACTCCTTCGAGTCTGGGCCGGAATCGAGGTGGGCACTGCGTTGCCTTGCACAGCGAGCTGAGGACGGGATGCAATGCCTGGATGCGATACTGCGGGTACTGCACCGCCGCCTTCGCCCACGAGGCTATTTACCCATTATTAGGGTGCCAGCCCGAGATGCAGACCGCATGCGCTATTTCTCGTGGATAAGGCAATACACGACGTTGTTCGTGTCGTCGCTGGAAAGGCACTTCGCGGTTCCACTTCAAGCCAGTGAAGGACTTGATTCCCCTCCGCCCCTTCATGACCGTACACTGGGCACCGTACCTCCGCCGTTCCCTGAACGTCCTTCCTCTTCGGGGGATAACGCTGCCAATCGTCTGTCAGCCAGCAACACAGCTGAACCAGCGGAAGTGGAAGAAGGCTCTTCGTCGTCGAGTTCATCGCCGAGTGTCCGGTTGAGGAGCCGCTCCCCTCTACGAGAACCTAGGAACCAGGGGACATCAGAAAGGAGTGACGCGGGGGAGGCGACAGCAGCTATCGGCTCATCTGAAACTATGGTCGAGCAAGCCTTGCCTTCGGGTGAGACTCTGCAGCGTGTACTACAGGGTGAACTTCTTGGACTTTGGAGTGAACCGCCCGCGACTACCTCTTCAAGCACGACGAGCACGACTGAGAAGCCGGTGACCATGGAGGAAATTGAAACAACGTGGACGTGTGACGATGTGGCCTTTGTTCAGCTTCCCCTCTCAATGACTAGTACGACAACAACCAGCTCATCGAGACTGACGTGGCCATGTGATATTGTCCGGGACGCAGTTAACAGGGGTGGTCTGCAAAGCAATCAGGTCGACGGCGCTGACCTCATCAGGCGTCTCAATGACAGAAGACGACAACTTGCCCATCAGGACAGACTGCTTGGGGTGGCTATTGACCAAGCGCTGCAATGGCTGCGACTGCCCCTCACCGCCGTCCCCTTCAATGGCAACCTGATGGAGGATGAGATATGGGCCACCGTTGTGCGCGAGGCAGGCTTCGGTTCCAGTTCGTCCTCGACAGAGCCGCAACACTGGGTCAGCAACCCGTCGGTCCTACTTCAACCGTCTCTTCCCCTGACCTTGGAACAACTACATCGGGCACTACCTGACCAAGAACCACACACGATTGCTGGTTACAGGCGGAGAGTCTGGCAAAATCATGTGGAGCAGTTGTACCGGCTGACGACCCAGGAGGTGCCAATGGGGAGATGGAGAGCAGAAAACGACCGCGAGCTCTACCTTATCCAAGTCGATGAAGATGCAACAGTGGCGGTGGGCACAAGCGGAATGTCACTCCCGGCCCTCGTGCACCATGCGAACCCAAGGCACAACACGTACGGAAGGAGGAGGGGAGAACGTCCTCGTCCTAACCCTCGCCTCGTCCGTGAAGGTGACCTGATGGCTATGGTGCAGAGGGAAGAGGACCGCACGAGGGAGCGGTCGAGGAGTCGTGATGACAGGATGCAGTCACGACCAGCCGCATCAACGACAAGTACGACGTCGGCCAGTCTGCTGTCTACCACGTCGTCTTCGACCTGGACTTCGTGGACTTTCACATCGTGCACCTCGTCCTCGCCGACATCAGCTGCTTCGTCTATGGCTTTCGCCGGGACATCCTCGTCTGCGTCGTCTTCGGCATTCGTCTCGACATTTGCATCGTCGGTGTGTGCCTCTGATCAGTGTCCACTTGGGGGAGAACATAGCGGAACGTCTGACTATGAGGAGGTCGGTGAGGGACTCTGAGGGTTTCGATGGTGTGTTCGTTGCCGTGTGAGGGGCTCTGAGGGAGCTGAACAGATGTGTCTTTGATAGGTGGTCTGTTAACAGGCGGTCTGGCTTCACAGTGATACAGCTGAAACTGTGATGTGTTTGGAGTGTAGGCCCGAATGGGCCAGTCTCGCCGCGGAGAAAGGGGCTACTGCACTTTAAAAAAAAAACCCTAAACCCTAAACCCTATGAGCCCTAAAGTGCCGGGTTTAGGAAGGGCAGGGTTGTCTCTTTGTTTTCGTATGGAGGCCCGAGAGACCAACATGACTCTTCAGGGTTCCTTAAGATATTAGAGTATGAATTGAGTAGTTCTCTAAAGTAGGGTCCCTTGTGAATTCCTATCTATGAGGGTGCAGTACTATATCGGGGACCCCAAAAAGGGGACCCAAATTTAGAGAACCACCCGTGCCAGGGGGGCCCCAGAAATTTGCCAGCAAGCCGACGCAGTCGGCCGCAGACGCCGCGGCCCACAGGCAAACTCATGCTGCCCTTGGGATGATCTCTGACACCCTTCAGAATTTCTCCGCTGGCCTCACTTCCATTCTGTTGGCGGTGACCCAGCCTCCACCGGCGAGGGAGGAGCGAGACCGGGAGAGGATGACTGATGAGTACCGGTCCGGGGTAGGGAGGGTTGATGCGGCTTTTTCCGCCCTTGCTTCCTTGGACCTCCTAGGAGCGTTTCTTCGGGTCGCCGAGGCTTCCTTTCTCATCACGGCGGCGGGGGCAGCGGGCCTATCGACATTGTGGGACGCAGTTGGAAACAATGTGCCCGAGTTCGCCTGAGCTATGGAACACCTGACCGACTACGACACAGTGAGTTTGACATCGAGGAAGGACAAGAAGTCACGCTCAACCTGGCAGTGACAATGGCACACAAGGAGCCCACTTACTTCCACCGGGGACGCCGTATCGGGGAGCAGGAGGCTGACCAGCTAGTTCGAGAAGAGGAAGAGCGGCTGTCTCGAACCGCCCGCTATTCCATGTACCAGGGCTCCCGGATTAGTCGTGAGGCTAAGGAGAGCAGGAGTTGGAGAGTGTTTGTTTTGGCCGGTCGGGCACCACAATCTAAGATAGTTCAGGACCTGATTCAGGAGCACCATACGTACCCTCAGGGATTTTCAGAGGGATCCTAGCATCTCGGCCCTTCAAGAGATGTTCTTCATCAGCCCTCTACATTATGGGGAAAGCAGCTGGAAACAGCTACATCTAAGGGTTTAGGGTTCAGGGTTTAGGGTTTAGGGTTGACTCTGTTCGGCTTAGAGTTCAGGGCTTAGGATGTAATGCAGGGGTCTGAACAACTCGAACTTGGTCTTGGGGTACGTCATACTGTAGGTATGTATGGCCTACAGGCGACTTTATTATTTATGCGCCTGCTTCCGTGAGGACCCGGATCCCAGAACAGCCCCACACTCTCCCAATTAAGCCCTACACCCTAAGCCCTGCTTCTGGTTTAGGGTTTAGGGTTTAGGGTTTAGGGTTTTACAGGGCGCCATCCAAGTCGGACTAGAAGACCCTTCCTGCCACTTAGGACAGGAGAACTTCGTCTGGGCAACTTCGCAGCATGCACTTTAGAGCTCTCAAGCATAAATGGAGGTTCCCCCAAAATAGGGGACCCTAATAT